GACACATCACCCAGCATTCCCGTCTTGTTTGTGAGAAAACCGCCAACAAAGGGCTACATAAGAAATCTACCGGGTAAAATTCTCAGATGATTCTAGGAAACTGAGGGTACCCCAATGGACAGTCCTTATTCATAGAGTCATGGAATGGTTTGAGTTGGAAGGGATATTAAAGTCCATCTATTTCAATCCCCCTCTACTATGGGTGTTGATAATTGATCTAAGTAGTCTGACTGTAGGGAAAATTACTACATAAACTGATTTCTGCCTGTTTCCTAAGCTAATTAATGCCACTGTTTGTCTAAAAGGATTTTTTTGTGTTTGGTGAGCCAGTTTATACAGCTCAGTGTTTTCTGCCTAGCTGTGGCACGCTCCGGTGCTGCAGTGGGAAGTGAAATAAAAACAGCAGAAACTAGTTGTGGAACGTTTTTTTTTTCCTGGTAATTGGTAGAAGGTTCAAGCATAATTGCTTGTAAAAATGATGCAAACAAAAGATGATTGAATCTCCTCAGAGGCACTTAAGTTATCAGCACATCAGGTACCAAGGACTCAAATTATAAATGTAATTTCTCATTGCTGGGATTTTGTAAACAGTCCCCTTCATAAATTTAGAAAACTCACATCTTCAAATGGCATTGATCCCTTCTGATGACTCTTCTCAGTAATTTCATCACTCTCCATATGATTAGAAGTTTCCTGTATTCATTTACCTCCTGAATAGTCTAGTTATTGTTTTTTGGTTTACACTTTGTTGCTGTTTTCATATTTACCCCTACAGTATGTTATTAAGGAATTTGCATATAACATGTCAGCCTTAAGATAAATTTGCCAATCAGCTCATGTAATTTTATGTTAGATCCTTTGTATCATGGCTGTTCCCATAACCAGGAATTATACATTTTCTTTACTTGCTGTAGCGTAAATTTACTTTTGTAACCATAACTATCCCAAGCAAGTGTTCCCAAAGACACCAACATCTTATTTCACACAGTGTTACTGTATGAACTGCTTTTGTTGTTATAAATATTTTGCTTTATGAAAACATCCTAAACCCAAATTAATTTTCTCTGCGGTGTAGTACTGTAGTAGATGATGGGCAGTTCTTTAAAGCCTCCAGCTGATGAGCCCAGTCACAGATTTAGATCTTGAAGTATTTATGTTCAAAGTACATTTACATTTATTAATCTTTGAGTGGATAAATTTGTACTTT